TCCGAGAAGAGCAGATTTGCGAATTGTGCTATGCCTATGCCTTCTCGCCTCCCGTCTTTCCCCAGCGCGGCTAGCATCGCGGAAGCGAAAGGCAGGAACTAAGCTGGGAAACATTGTTGAAGAAACATCTGAAAATTTTATTCTTTCTTCAAATGTTTCCCGGTTGCGTTTTCTCAAAAACATCATTCTTTGAATATTCCCCCGTTTGTCCAACCTTAATTTGCATCATTGAACAACATTCCTTTTAACGTGATTTTGGACTCGCAGATATTGTTTCGATTTTTTCCCAACAGTTAGTTGAAGTTCCAGCAGTTCGTGTGTCACGTGTGGTAGACGCGACCGGGGCAGGGGACGCGTTTCTTGGGGGATTGGTATCAGGTTGGTAGCACTTTACATCTGAACTGTTGAATGGTTTTGTGGATAGAATTTTCGGGTGTTCATTTTAAAGCCCGTTTACACTTGCAATTTTTGCTGCAATTTCTAGTGCGATTCTCCTCTTCTGATCATGGATGTGAACAAGTGAATAAGTTATGAATGCTCTGACTATGTGTACCCTCATCTAAATATTCCTAACTCATCCACTCGTTCACATACATCTGGAGAAGAAAATCACAGCAAAAATTGCAAGAGTAAACGGGCCTTAATATATTTATTAGACCTAACCAGAAGTAGTTGGGAAAAAAAGTGAAATCCATACTATGAGATTTGCAATTGCACCACTAAATCCATAGTATATCCATACTATTTCCATACTATATCCATGGTATGGAAATATACAATTATTATGGATGATCAAAAATCCATTCTGTTTCCAATAAAGGTCCATACAATTTCCATTCTATGGATTTTCAACATTTTTTTCCCAATGAAATGCAACCGTATAGGACTGGCAGTAATCCAGTAGCGGAGCTAGGCATGGCAACTGGTCATGTTATGCTAATAAACCAGTATCTAAATAGGTTATTAAAGACAATACATTTCTAAAGGTTTGAATGACTTGTTGCTATGGCTAGCTTCGCCTCCGCAGGAATCGTACCTGCGGTTCCAGTACAACACTCAGCCGGCAATAGTTGATTCCAGCTATTTTACAATGGACCATTTGCGTAATAGACTAAATTTTGATCTCAACAGAAATTTCATCACAGCTTGAAAGAGCATCACAAAATTAGTAATATTCCGAAGTTTCGTTGCGAAATGTTGTAAAATGCGGAAAATATAGCCTTGCGAAGTTTGCAATTTTCAGTCATTTTACATTACAAATGGGAAATTGACAGCCCCAAACCCTCTGAGGCTGTCAATTTCCCGTTTGTAATCTAAAATGACTGAAAATTGCAAACTTCGCAAGGCTATATTTTCCACATTTTACAACATTTCGCAACGAAACTTTGGAATATTACTAATTTTGTGATGTTCTTTCAAGCTGTGATGAAATTTTTGTCTAGACTAGTTTATATCAAAATTTAGTCTATTACGCAAATGGTCAATTTAGTAAAATTGTAAAATGCGGAAAATATAGCCATGCGAAATTTGCAAATTTTGTATTAATTTGTATTACGCGCGGGAAAATGTACTACATTTGGGCCGAAAGTGGATCTAGATCTAGTGGATCTAGTGGATCTTTATTTTGTCTAGATCAAAATTTAGTCTATAGCTGGAGTCATCTATTGTTGACGATGTAATCATCCAGGAACTAGAATAAAGTTTGAATGTCATTAATGTAAATTATTTTGTTGTTTAAGGTTTATATTATAATGGATTACCGAGTGATGAAACAAACTTAAGGTCAGAGATGAAAGAGAACTCATTTTGTTTTCTTTTGTATTTGTACAATACATATGAAGAATAATGGTGCTCATTGGAGGAAAGACCTTCCGATTAGGCAACCGTACCGTGTTCCGGCGGCAAAAGCCACAATCATTTTCAAATGTGTTGGGACAGATACCCCAACTATCTATAATCCCCACCCCCCACCCCGTGTTCAATGTTGGTCTCAAACTCATTAATAATTCATGAGTGAATAGACAATTCCCATTATAGACTAATTTTAAAACTAGGCAAGGAGATGCAAATAAATCACCACAGCTAGAAAGAGCATACTAAAATTAGTAAAATTACAAAAGTATACAAAATTTGCGAACTTTACAAGGCTATATTTTCCTCATTTTACAATATTTCGCAACCAAACTTTGTAATTTTACTAATTTTAGTATGCTCTTTCTAGCTGTGCTGATTTATTTGGGTTCCTTGCCTAATTTTAAAATTAGTCTGTAATGGGAATTGTCTATTAGCCAACCATATTGCTTTATTTTGCTCACATGATAATACTGGATACCTGGTGAAGTATATTGATCCAGTCCTAGGACTGCATCAAAATTAATTCAGTCCTTGGACGGGATCAAAATTAATTCACCTCACTGATTTATTCGTATGAGATGTCATTTCAAATCCTCCAATGGACCATTTGCATTATAGACTAAATTTTGATCTAGACAAAAATTTCATCACAGCTTGAAAGAGCATCACAAAATTAGTAATATTCCAAAGTTTCGTTGCGAAATGTTGTAAAATGCGGATAATATAGCCTTGCGAAGTTTGCCGTTTTTCAGTCATTTTGTATTACGCACGGGAAATTGACAGCCCAATCGGGTGTTGGGGCATCAATTTCCCGTTTGTAATACAAAATGACTGAAAATTACAAATTTTACAAGGCTATATTATCCGCATTTTACAACATTTCGCAACGAAACTTTGGAATATTACTAATTTTGTGATGCTCTTTCAAGCTGTGATGAAATTTTTGTCTAGATCAAAATTTAGTCTATAATGCAAATGGTCCATTCGGACTGGACTAGATTTCAAGTCCTCGCATTTTGATCCGGTTTTGCCTCCTCCGCAGGCATCTCGTGGTACTTACGTAACCCAATAAGAACATCAGTTATTTGAATAACTAAATTATATAAGTTCTCGACGATTAAGAGATGCCTGCGGAGGAGGCTAGATCCGGATATCGGCTTCGCTTCGGACTTGATCAAATTTGCGCGGACTTGAAATCTAGTCCAGTTCTCATAGTCGGATTTGAAATATTACATCTCAGTTAGCATCTTGCATTGGTGTGCTAGAATGTCTGGATTGGGTAAACAACGTTGAAGGGGAAGGAAGATATCAATGTTTGTAATAATTTGCATTCAAATGATGATCTAAAACCACAAGTGCGCCAGTAACTTTCGAAAATGATTACAGGCTGCCAACTATAGGCGAAATTGTGTAACATTTCTTTCGAAATCATTTTAAATGCTTTACCAAAATTCTTCTGGTTAGGAAACTTGGTCAACTCGGAAATATCGTGGGTGGAGCCTGCTGCGAAGTACTTGGTGCATTACCAACTGAAGAGTCTCGGTACGTCACTTGTCTCGTCGTGATTGACATGCCAGCTTCGTTATGATGTTCCACTGATACATTTTGATACTTTTTCCAGCATAAAGCTAGACAAAGAATTGGAGGAACTCTTAGGCGCAAAGATCGGTAAGTTGACTTGAACGTATCTTAATCGACTTGAACATACTCTGTCCAGATGAGATGGTCTAGAAGCCCAGCAATGTTCAAAGCCACAAACTAGAAGAGCTTTGTTCGATGTTGAACTGTACCCCACCGTGCACAAATCCTTTGTCTCAACTTTATTAAAATAAATATTATTCATCGTGGTTGCACGTTTCACCTCGGCTATCCCTATTGGACGAGAGCATTATGTACTGTTTAATAAACGAGCAGGAGTGTTTTATTAGATTTAAAGACACGAGCGCGCAGCGCGAGTGTCCTATATCTGACAAAGCACGGACTCCGAGGGTTTTAAATGGCTCAAAAAAGACCCATCTGATTTACATTGGCGAAGTAATTTTAAAAATAAACGTTGTGTAAGCCGAGAAAATCAAAGTTAAAGTTTATGTAAATCAAGGGAAATCTCTATCACATATAAAGATACGACACGCTAATGATTTTTCTTTGTGTTTTCCTCTTGAATTATTAATGAGTTTTTAAAATCTTGATAGACTATGATGTTCTTACGAATTCAAATTGTTTGAATGAAGTGTACAACCTACCACATGCCACAGGTTTCCACCTAATATTCCGGTTTCCTCCTGCAATACCACTGGAGCAACGAAGTACTAGTTTAGATCTGATAAAGCCTTCCAGTATTAACAAAGTTGGGGTAAATATATACAGTCAATTCCCCTTTACACATTCAGTACTACTCCAGTTCAGGTTAGCGCGCACCAGAAACTGTATGACACATTTAATACATAATTGAATTTTCGTTCATTGATATCATGTAGCTATATCTCGTACGGAAAATAATGATGACACAGCAGAAAGGTTACAAGGATTTAAAGAAAGTGTAAAGCTGGATGTTGAGTGTGCTACCACAATTTCTGGTTCACTGGAAACAGCAGCGGTGGAAAGCTTTATTGACATTTTGGAAAACTGCTCAGGACGAGTTCTTGTCTCCGGAATTGGTAGGTATCAAGGATTGAAACTAGCTTTATTTATACTTCAATAGAGGTCCAGTAGGTTAAATACTCTTGCACTAACTGTTTTTTCTTTCTTATTACAGGAAAATCAGGTATTCTTGCCCAACGAATGTCAGCGTCGCTAGCCTCAACAGGAACACCATCACATTTTATACATGGTGCCGAATGGACGCATGGTGATTTAGGTAAATATATGTCATTGACCTTTTGCAGAGAAGTGGAAGCACGCTCCAACATGGCGGCTGCAAAATTTCGAGCTCCGTCAAATTATGATTTAAAAATGTTATTTATTGTCTGAAAGAAGTCACCTCTACAAACAAATTTGATCTTAATTGCTACATAGTACTTTGTTCTCACAAATTGCGGAAAGAAGAAAGCTGATTTGGTACATGAAGCGAATTATTCAACGATTTGGTGAACAATTCTACACGATTTGTTATACATGTCACATTGTTAATATTGCTAAATAACGTGATGATTGACGGTGGCTTGATCGACGATGGGGTCAGGGACAGTGTTTTTCCCTTGATTGATGGGAAAAATATTGATGATTTAAAAGTAGTCGACTTGAAGAAAGCATTGGGACTGAGGGGGCTAAAGAAATCAGGTCTAAAGGGTGAACTAAAAGAAAGACTTCGCCAGGACATTATTAGTCACTCTGTAGAATCCCTTAGTGATACGTCAATTTCATCCGAAAAACATAATGGGACCTCGACAATCCTTCCAAATCTACCTAGCTTTAAACCTATAAACCATTCTTCAGGTTTTAGGGTTTATTCGACAGAGGGAAAATTGTTCTGTGACTTCTTTGATTTGGCATATGATGAGGCGGTGAAATGGCGGAAGAATGTATTTAAAATTCCTTCAGGGAAAGCGGGCAAAGAATTCATCAAATTACAATCACAATGGCTATCTAAATTTAATAATGAAGATAGTTTTATGGGTATATCATTGAAGGTTTTTATGACCCTTCCAATGATTCTTCTGCAAAAGCCCTCAGTATCGTCAAAAGCAAAGGAACATTCGCAAGCCTTGAGCCATAGAATCAAATGGCTAAAAAGATGGTGAATTACAGCGTCTGCTTTCAGAATGTCGTTCTATCCAACGTCAATTACGACCAAAGACATCCTCGGACAATCTGTCTAAAACTTTTGCAAAGTTAATCATGATGGGAAACGTTAATGCTGCTCTTCGTCTTCTTAGCGAAGAATCTGATGGTTGTGTCCTACCATTATCCGAGGAAGTCCTTCGAAATCTGCAGGAGAAGCATCCAGCCCCTGCAGATATACAACCAAGTAGCTTACTCCATGGTCCCATTATTGACCTTCGCAATATATCTTTAGCAGTTGATGAGCAAACTATACTAACTGCTGCGAAAACACTAAAGGGAGCTGCTGGTCCCTCTGGCCTCGACGCTACTCAGTATATTCGTATGCTTTGCTCAAAGCAATTTCACCGTGAAGGTAAATGCCTGCGTGAACAAATTGCTTTGTTTGCTGTGAAAATAGCAACAGAAAGTCTGGATCCCTTCTCCCTGGAAGCATATGTTGCCAATAGACTTATCCCCTTAGACAAGTCCCCTGGTATACGACCCATCGGTATTGGTGAGATTATGAGGCGCTTGGTTGGGAAAGCGCTAACAAAGGAATTCAAGCAAGATTTCAAAGAAGCGACTGGTCCGATTCAAGTCTGTGCTGGGCATGAAGCTGGAGCAGAAGCAGCCATCCATGCTATGCAGCAAGTATGGGAAGAGGAAAACACGGAAGGGATCTTACTGATTGATGCAAGTAATGCATTTAATTCACTAAATCGTCAAGTTGCTCTTCATAACATTTTGTTATTATGCCCAAGACCAGCGATATCCATAATTAATACGTATCGAAACCCCGCGAGGCTATTTATTGTGGGCGGAGGTGAGCTTCGATCGCAAGAAGGCACAACACAGGGGGACCCATTAGCCATGCCTTTCTATGCCATTTCGGTCATGGTATTAATTTCATTTCTTCATGATGCATATGATATGGTGAAACAGGTTTGGTTTGCCGATGACTCGACCGCAGCAGGTAAACTACGTGCTTTACTGGCGTTTTTTGAAATGCTAATAAGCGAAGGCGTAAAGTATGGCTACCATGTCAACAGTGGGAAATCTTGGTTAGTAATTAAAGATCCGTGTGATATAGAGAGAGCCACTGAATTATTTAAAAGTCACGACATCAAGATTACATCCGATGGTCATAGATTACTGGGAGCTGTCATTGGATCTACTTGTTTCAGAGAGGAATATGTTAATAGCAAAGTCTCTACTTGGTGTACTGAGCTCGAAAATCTATGCTCTATAGCGAAGTCGCAGCCACATGCCGCATACGCTGCTTTTGTGCATGGTTATAAGCACAAGTTTACTTTTTACATCAGGACTATTCCAAACGTGGCCCATTTGTTCCAACCTGTAGAAGAAATTATTTGTTCGAAATTTCTACCAACTATATTTGGCCAGGATATTTCTCA